GCAAAACAAATATCCTGCTTGTGATTTTGAATCGTCTCTGTCGGTTTGGAAGCTAGCATCAGTGTAACCGACCACCTTTAGCTCTTCCTCACCACCGTATACCAGGAATGCATCCTTAGTATTGCGAAGATACTTGAGGATGTTCTTGACCGCTGTCCAGTGTGCTTCTCCTGGACTTCCCTGGTATCTGCTGGTCACGCTTAAAGCGAATGAGACATCAGGTCTAGTACATATCATGGCGTACATGATGGATCCAATCGCAGAGGCGTATGGAACCTTCATCATGAGTTCCTTTTGCTCGGGAGTAGAAGGACTCTGGCTCTTGGAAAGAACCGTGCCAGGTGTCATAGGTAAAGATCCTTTCTTTGAGTTAGACATGCTAAATCGATCAAGGATTTTATCTATATATGTACTTTGATTTAGACCTATTAACTTTCTTGATCTATCTCGGTAGATTCTTATGCCAAGGACATAACTAGCATCCCCTAAGTCTTTCATGGAGAAGTTCTCGCTCAACCACGTCTTTACAGAAGTGAGAGCGGGAATATCGTTACCCATTAACAATATGTGATCGACATATAAGATTAGGAATACTATTACACTCCCACTGACCTTCTTGTATACACAAGATTCGTCAGAGTTCTTCTTGAAACCAAAACTGGAAATGGTTTCGTCGAAACGTATGTACCAACTCTGAGATGCTTGTTTCAATCCGTAGATTGAACGTTGCAGCTTACAAACTTCGGCAGACTGACCAGCAATTTGAAAACCGTCAGGCTGTGTCATAAAAACATCCTCTTTGAGGTTCTTGTTAAGGAAATCCGTCTTGACGTCCATCTGCCAAATTTCGTAATCGTAATAGGCTACAATTGCAAGCATTATCCGAATGGATTTCAGCATAACAACTGGAGAAAAGGTTTCATCATAGTCAATTCTGTGGATTTGTCTATAACCTTTTGCTACCAATCTAGCTTTGAAGGTATGAACCTTCCCGTCTACGTCTGTCTTCTTTTTGAAGACCCACTTGCATCCAATGGGTTTTACCCCTTCGGGCGCATCAACCAAGGTCCAGACTTGGTTTGTGTACATAGACTCCATTTCAGATTTCATGGCTTTGAGCCATAGATCGGATTCGGGGCATGTAATTGCCTCGAGGTAGGTCTCTGGTTCGCCTTAATCTACCAACAAGACGTCACCTTCATCAGACATGAGAAATCCATATCTGATCGGAGGATTACGTATCCGGTCTGACCTACGTGGTATATCTTGAGCAATTTGAGGTTCAATTGCTTGATCTCTTTGCTCAGGTTCCAACACTATCAGGACTTCTTCTTGTGGTTCTCGAATTTCTTCGAGGTCTACCTTTCTCCCACTAGTGATAGCAGAAAGAAACTCCTTCTCTAAGAAGGTTCCATTCCGAGCAACAAAGATTTTGTTATCGGATGGATGATAGAACTCATACCCTCTAGTTTCCTTGGGGTATCCCACAAAAATTACTTTATCAGATTTAGGCTCCAACTTACTAGACGTCATGAGACGTTTTACATAAGGTTCACAGCCCCAAATCTTAAAGTACGAGAAACTCGGTTTTCTCCCACGCCATAGTTCGTATGGTGTGCTCTCGACAGCTTTAGATGGAACTCTGTTGAGTGTGTGTGCTTCTGTTTTCAATGCATATCCCCAAAATGATTCTGGCAATGTTGTCAGACTAATCATGCTCCGGACCATGTCTAGCAAAGTCCGATTTCTCCTCTCAGACACTCCATTTAACTGAGGTGTCCCCGGAGGAGTGAGTTGGGATAAGATCCCATGCTCTTTCAGATAGTCATCGAACTCCAGGCTTAAGTATTCACCTCCTCGATCCGAGCGGAGGGTCTTAATACTTTTGCCTAATTGTTTTTCTACTTCGTTCTTGAATTCTTTGAATTTGTCAAAGCATTCCGATTTGTGTTTCATGAGATACACATATCCATATCTACTAAGGTCGTCAGTAAATGTAACGAAGTAAGAATNAGTTGGTCCCGGATAACTTGTTGTTTTCCAGGATGTAACGCAGGTTGAAAGAATTGTTGTTGTTTGCCATCTACAGAAAATTTTGCAAACTAGGTTATCTATCATGTTTAATAATTAATTAGGCCTTTAATTAATTATCTCCCACTATTTTTAACAAATCAATAACCCTCGATATTGATTCGGAGATTTCCGGCGAAACCTCTAGTGGGCCAAGATCCATATTTCATTATCTTGCGTTCCGCTTGGGCGTTACTCCACAAGACAACTATTTAGGTAGGAACATAGTTCCAACTGATGAGCCGGGCTCTCAGCTCTTGGTCTGGTGTTGGGCGAACAATATTACTACAACCGATACAGGGCACCTTTTCACCATACTTGTAATTGGCTGAGGCACGTCTTACAAGCAGACTACTTTGGTTAGGAATAGAGTTCCAATTAAATCATAAAGATCCAACTCCTGGCTGGATGAGTGAGTAAAATTATCCGACTTGTCATTGATGACCACAATTTATTGCCTCTGAGTCGTCCATCCATTTGACCAAGACTCAGTTAAGTCTAACCCAACGTGCGACAGCGACCACGCTATGGTGGTTCGTGTAACCAGCTTAACATACACCGTACTATGCTCTGCTGAGGCTGAGTACATGACAGTGCACATTAGCCGGATAGGTGCCGGGCGTCAGAAGGCAACAGACTTAATATTCGTGAGGGATAATTTCGATCTCACCTATCGACATGGCCGCGCACATGTCCATTACTAGCAATCAACATACATTCAACATGCATTCACAAAACGTAGTAAATAAACGTGTAATGATTGTGGCCCGTAAAAGAAAAATAAAACGATAGCTCCCACTGGCTTCCGGGCACTTGGACTTCGGGCTATCTCCGTTCTTTTAGATTTCTTCAAATGTTCTTCAAATCTTTTTGTCTTCTAACCACCACGTGAGAAAAGAATCCTCGGTTGAGGTAAGAGAGAAATAGATTTACAACAAGAGTTTAAGAGATAAGGCACGACACGCAGGCCGTATTATAATCAAATAAACTATAGCCACAATCATCCACCATGCATATCATACATCCACACAAGCAATAGAGATATACATACACCGGGTGAACCGCGTTCACCCCAGACAGTTCTAGAAAAATACTACGGGAGTAAATATTTTCTAAAACTCATAAAATTAAATTAGATGTCCAAATTAATCTAATAAAATTTTATAAAATCATTTTATATACTCTAGATATTCTGCCAGCATAAACAAATATCCAGAATATTCCAAATGACCAAAATGCCCTTTTTGCAAAATTATATTCAAAAAGGCCATTAAAATTTTGAAACAATTTTGCAAAAATCATGAAAATTAAATTTCAACTTCGAGTAGTTATTTTTAACATTTATAAATCTGGAAATAAAATTTCTAAAATTTAATATTTTGAAAAACATTCTTTTTCTTACTGAGATATAACTTTCCAAAATATATATTAGTCATTTATGTAATTAAAATACAAATATATAAATATATATAATATTTCGGTAATAAAACCGAGTACATATATAAATATATATATTTATTTAATTACTAACTAATATTATTTTGAACAATATATTTCTCAACAACCTTATTCAACTTAGAAATAATATTTCCAAGTTTAATAAAGTTCATTTTGAATTTTGCCATATTTATTTTCGGTTTTCACCTAAATAAATACAATAAATTCAAAATAGGAAATAATACATTCAAAAATTACAATATAATTTTATCAATCATAAAATGATGTTTTATTTCCAAATAAAATTATATTTACTATTTCTACAATATATATAAATATATATTTCGAAAAATCAAAATATATATATTTATATATATATTACGGGTAGAAATAAAATAAATAAATTTAAAATTCATTTTCAATGATTTATTTAAGTCCAATACTTATTCCAAGACTAAATAAAATCATTTTACCAATTTTTGAATTTTAATACTCCCTCCGTCCCCCAAAGATCTTTCCAATAGCCCTTTTTCTTTGTCCACAATAGATCTTCTCATTTCATTTTTTAACAATTAAAATACCACAACTACCTCCACTTCCTTTATTTATTACATCTCACCCACCTCATTTAATACACTCCACCCATTTTTCATTAAGGGTATTATGGTAAACTTTCACCTTTTTTCAACTCTCCTTAAAAACCACCAAAAGTCAAAATGAGAACATCTTAGGGGGACGGAGGGAGTAATTACCAAGTTAAAACTTTGGCTTTTAAAATTCTAAAAGTCAAACGTAAAACTATAGTTTTGTACGTTGGCTACGATACCACTAAAAGGTAACCATGCAAGGATAGGCAGCGGAATATAAAAATTTTAACATCCTAACATGATTATCTTGCCCAGAATCACGTACTAAAACTTATAGTAAGTAAGAATTCATACCTTTCTCCGTAAGCGGTAAAACGAAGAAGTCGTAGGAAGAGCGTTGAAAGTGCAAACGTAACCGTTCAAGTGTCCGGTCTCCAACTTTGACACACGAACAACGCCGGAGTCTACCACAATCTTTATGCTAGTAAAGATTATAGTAGTAATAAATATAAAGATTAAAATTGGGATAATAATAATCTTGTATATTTCTATAGAAAATATTTCTAATAATATTTAGAAAATATTATAGATATTTTCTACACACAAAATGATATTAATAGAACACAAAAGAAATTTTCTCTGACTAGAAAATACTATGGCCGAATGACACACTTGAAATAAATGTGTTAAAGTATAATGTTCACATACACCCATTTTATTCAATGTGCCGTGTCAAAAAAAACAAAGTGTATAATCAAACTTTGTCATTAAGCTAAAGGTTAAAATGATTAACAATTAATCAAAGTTGATTTGTTAAATTTCTCAATCCTTTATGATATGGCAGAAAGTTTTGATTGTGAGAAGGATTTTTAAAATTCTTCTCCACTCAAATGTTCAAAGTGTATTTTATTTGACACCAAAGATTAATATAAAATTAATTTTAAATCAAATAAAAATACCCATATCATTTTTTAAACAAGTATACAAACATACTTTAAATAGTTTATGTCAAAATAATTATTTTCATAATTAAAATGTCAAACCAAAATAAAATATTCAACATATAATATATATATATATATATATATATATATATTTAGGTATTTATATATATAAATATATCTTCGAATGTTTTACATATATATAATATTATATTCCAAAATATTTTATTTTACTATTTTACAAATATACAAATTACTTATTATCCCATTGTTTAATCCTACTTCTTAAATTGTTCAAAGTGTGTGACCCGTATAGGCACTTATAAAGCTGGCCACAGTATTGGCTCTGCACCAATACTATAAGCAATAGCGGTATTTAGCAACACATTATTGCCCCCAGATTATAAGTTAAGACGTTTGCACCGTCAAAACCTTTCCACGACTCAGACTCCGTGTAACTGTATCCCTTTGTCTCAATGTCTAAACTTAATGCAACGGATTAATAAAATCCAACTTGTATCCATTAAGTCATTCACTGATTTA